CTGTGAATAGAAATCGAAGCTCTGCGCAGACCGCCGTCTGCCCGCAGCCTGTTCTTAAGCAAAATCATTGGCCAAAGTGCTTTTTTTTCTGCATTCAGTATGGCTAAAATTTTGTTAAGGACAGTGGGAATCTCGTTAGTCCACTCCAGTAGCGCAGCGATTTGTCGGCACAGCACCTGCGAATGGAAATTGAAGCACTGCGCAGCAGAAGCGGAGCTTCCCGTGCGGGCCTGCCGGGTGTAGGGACGTGCGTCGGTGGTGCCCGCGGGGGTTCGTCTTCGCTCTCGCACTCGTCGGGCACCACTCACCGTGCAGCAGCACGGAAGCGGCCTTCGAGCCGTCCACAACTCGACCACTGGAACCGTCCACCGAGATCAGCCATCTTCAGCAGCTGCAGGCCACGCGTCGTCGCCGTCATCAACCACTGGTGAGTCAAATCATACTCATCCCCTTCGCGCTGCGAAGCAATGAATAGGTAGGAATCGCGCTATGCCCCCAAGCTCACCGGCTCCCCCTGCCCAAATAAGTCCACCCTCGTGCAACTCCCCACCGAGAGCCACGCCGCGCCACTCAGCTATTAGGATACTGCAGCTGTACATGGCTCGATCATCTGCCGTAAGCGGACAAATTGCCCAGCTCGTTCGTGAGCGGAATCTGGATATCCTGCCATTGCAGGAACCACATGCCACTACGGAAGCGAACGTCTGGACCATACGCGGTCTAGGCTCATCTACACGTATCGCCGCAACGAGAACATCCAGGCCGTGGGCCGCCGTGGCCGCCTGTAACAGTCGAATCGCAGTCGCACTCGTGGCTCAATTAAGCACGCCGCACTGCGTATGCGCGGAAATCGAGGCGCCCGTGGACGACGAGTGACCACAAATCTATCGAGGTCTGCGTGGGGCCGACGGCTCAGAGTCGCGGTGTGGAAACCAACGGAGACTCGGAGAAGGCGCCCATGAGCTTCAACGTTCGTCGAGCGGACTGGGACAAATTCAAAGAGTCTCTCGCGGGGGAGCTGCGTGTTTGCGTCGACGGTTGCCCACTGGACTCGAAGCTAGAAGTCGAGCAAATGGCAGAGACACTCACAGTGGCGCTCATCAAGGCCTGTGAGATGTCGATACCCCGTAAAAAACTTCACCGCCGCGCGAATCCCTGGTGGAACCAGGACTTGACGCGTCGCCGCCGACTTGTCTGTAGACTTCGGAACGTGTACCGCCGCCAAAAAGACCTAGACACGCGAAATAAGAAGGTAGACCCGTATCGAGCAGCACTGCACAGCTACACTAGAGCAATTAGATCCGCGAAACGTAAAAGCTGGAGGAAGTTCATCACCTCCACCGGTAACCGAAATCCCTGGGGCTGGCATTACAAGCATGCCAACGATAAATTGAAGGTAGGCTCGTTGCTTAGCCCACTTAGAACCGCGAACGGCCATACTCTAGGCATGCGCGATACAGCGACAGTTCTACTCGACACCCACGTACCAGACGACGACCCGGACAGAGATACCCCGGAACAACGCGAGACCCGCGAACGCCCTAAAAACCTGACAATGACCATGGAGGACGCGGGAACACTGACGGACAAGGAACTCCAGTTCTCGCCAAGACACTGAAAAACGACAAAGCCCCAGGGTGCGATCTGATCGAAGATAGGGTCCTGAAGATGGCCGTGCATCATTTCCCCGAACCATTCACTAGGCTTTTCAACGCCTGCCTGAAGCATGGTGTTTTCCCCGTGACCTGGAAGGTGGGCACTCTTCGAACGCTCCTCAAGGGAGCCGACAAGGATGTGTCCAACCCCAAGTCCTACCGCCCAATCTGCCTTCTTTCGATAGTTCGGAAACTTTTCGAAAAGTTCCTCCATCCAATCCTCATGTCAACTGTCCTCAAAGGGGACAGGAGTAGTATGGGGTAGACTCAGGGAATGTTCCCATCTTCTGCCACCAGGCGGCGCTAGTGTCGCGGCGTGTATGGGCGTTATGGGAGGGGTGGGGGGAATGGCGGGAGTTTCAAATTTCGGCACTAGGCGGCGCTAGTGTCGCGGGGCCCGTGGGTGACGGTGGGTGGTGGGCGGCGGTGGGTGGTG